TCCACTGAGACAGCTAACAGGTCCCTCAAATCCACTGTTCTTCTCTGCCTGCATGGATAAATGGACAAAACAAGGATCGTTAGCTTCCCAATGAAACCGCTTCAACTTTTCCTCACAGCTAACCTGCTGAAACTGTATGAGCCTTATCGGGTTTTATATGATGCTAGAATTTCAAACTCAATAATATTTAGTAGTACTTTTGATACTATGGGGAAAGTTTTGAGCTCATCTTGAAGTAGTAGCAGTAATGACAAGTAAGTCATTTCTTGACAAAGTAAACTTGTTAATTTTTTTAATCAAATTTTCCCATTTACACGTTAGTTTTACTCAGCTACGTATTTAGGATCAAGTTTGGAGGTTTTAATCATTTCATTACGGATCATGACAGTAAATTATATTTTAGAACCTACTGATAAACAAAGGGTACAGCAAACAATACAATACCTAACACATCCAAATAATTTAATTATTATAAAAGAGCAGCACTATAAAATATTAAAAATGAACTTTGGATAAAGTGAGCTTATGCTAAAATAAAAACAACTGAAAAAAATAAGTTGACACTGCTCTGCCTCAGTCGCAGCTCTTCAGGCCTCAAACAGTCTGATTTGACTGCTCTGTTCTGGATTTCACTCTTTGGTCCTCCACACAGCCATGTGTCGGCTCTGCCACAGCTCAATATGCAAACCATTCAGCCTGCAATATTTATTGATCTTTTATCCAACTACAGTCTGGTAGCCACTACCTTAATGACAATGATTAATGTTGCTATCGGGTGATCGCTAATAAAAATTCACACGCACACCAGCCAGGTTGACATTTCTACTAACTATTTAATAATTCAATGTTGTTGAAATGGGAGCTTGAATGACCTCTGACATTTCACTCATTTTCAGTCCAGTATTTGAACCTGATCATTGTGAGATAAATATATTTCTTTCCTTCTTAAACCACTTAACACTAACATATAAATCATTCACACATAAAAAAGGCATCCAGCTCAAGCGTTCTGCCTACACATGAAAGACAACTTAGCACAGAGCCAATTTTAAATTCTATTTAAGCACTTTATTAGCAGCTATAATAAATCTCAACAGTTTGCTCCAATTTCTTTAGTTGAAGTTACAAAAATACCCAAGATAACAGATAACTTTTAGCTGGAAACCTGGAATATCTCTGCATGGTACGAAGTGCATCCTTAGCAAAATAATGTTGAGGAATCTAAACAAGTAGAGGACAAAAGAAAAAGTGAGAGGCCTAAAAAATAAAGATAAGCAGTATCTTAAACTCTTTCATTTTTCAGCATGAAAAAGATCCCAAAGACTCTGCAAACGTAGTAAAAGAGTACCCGGATAGAAAAATGGACAATGGAACATCATCAATCATGGATTGGCATTAGAGCTTAGAGCTGGGATTTAAACATTATTGACTCAGGGTGGGATGATTTTGACAAGAGAACGGAACAAAACGCAGCCAACATCCAAAGAAGAACTTTGAATGTCCTTCGACTACTTAAAGAAATTATAGGAAAGATTACCTAAGAGAGTTCAGCATTTCAAACTTTTTGAAATTACACAAACATGTTTTTGTTGTATGCTTGCATGTTTCAATAAATTGCTGCAGCTATTTAACTTTTTTTTAGTAAGAAATGAAGGCTGGATCAAGACTTTTGCACAGTACTGAATGTTATTCTTCATTTGCTGGCTGGTCTTGTCAATAAAGAACTAGAAAAGGGATGACATAGCTTCATCTTAGCCTTGTGGTTATAGGTGTGGGTATTTAGCCAAAGATTTGGAGATTTTAAAATGGGCTGAGGCAGTGTTTAGTTTCGAGCAGTGTCACAGAACTACATCGAGGCTAGTCCTAGACATTTTTTAAGCAAAACATACCAGTGCTATCACAGTATTCACAAAACCCACACTGATTACAACCCTCTTAACTAAAGCCAGTTCTCTCCCTCAATTATTTTTTTTCCTAAACTACACAGAGTCGTTTAGAAAGGCATATTCATATTCATTCTGCAGGACAACGAACCCAACTGCACAGGCAAAATCATTCAGAGTCAAGTTCAGAACAAAGAGCTCTGCCACATGTTGCATGTGTCTCACAAAGCCCTGCATCATAGTCTCATAGCCTTGAGAAGAACTAAATCCATTGAGACTGTGGCAAGTTATTTCCTTAAATTACTGAAAAATAAAGACAATTATACTTTAATTTTACTGCCTGAAACTGTCAAGTGTTACATGTAAATGTAAGAGTGATATGAGCCTGTGTTTCAGATTACCTGGTGACAGTGAGGTACCAACTGCTATCTGTTCTCAGAGTGGATGTTAGTGAGCTCTCCCTGTATGCTGCCAACGGGGAAGTCCAGCCAGATTAACATGGCTGTCACATATGTGCACCTTCTTCATTCTGACCAGATTTCAGCTCAACCATGAAGATTAACATCAGAGTTTGAGTTACAATTACATCAATTCATCTGAGATCATCTGCCAGAAGGTGTTAATAGGTTCCTTTCTAAGAAACCTTACAGGTAGTTTCTTTGTAAGGGAACGGTACATAAAACCACTGACACTTGCAGACGCCATGTATGATGTATTGTGTACAGTGCAGACATGTGACGGGTTAATCTGGTTGGACTGCCCCGCTGGCAGCATACCAGGAGCGGACTAACATCCGCTCCTGAGTACAGATAGTATAAAGCAGGGGTCCCCAATCCCAGTCCGCGAGGGCCGGTGTCCCTGCAGGTTTTAGATCTCACCCTGGGTCAACACACCTGAATCACATGATCAGTTCATTACCAGGCCTCTGGAGAACTTCAAGACATGTTGAGAAGGTCATTTATCCATTTAAATCAGCCGTGATGGATCAAGGACACATCTAAAACCTGCAGGGACACCGGCCCTCGTGGACTGGGATTGGGCACCCCTGGTATAAAGTGTATGCTGCAGTTGTAGGGCTCACTAGCAGCAGATCCCATAAAAATGTGCGAATAAGAACGTCAGGGAGAGAATTTACTGAACTTTGGCGAAATTACGAACACGCATCAGCTGTGTCAGCTGACAAGAAAATAAATGCATTTTAGAGACATGTACATGAGAATAAAACCACAGACAGACACTCTACGAGCAGTGACAAGTTTTGTCACGTTTTACCACTTACTGTGTTGAGAGGGGAGTCTGGGACCTGAAGGCAGCCAGGCGGCTGGAGATGACCCCGGAATACAGGTGGTAGATGACACCGACTCCAAGGAGACAGAACACCGCCACACCGAGCGGTGACAACCGGATACCCATCGGAGCCATGGCTACACGGAGAGTCTTTTCGGGTTTTTTAGCCGGAAAATGATTACTCAAATCCAAAATAAAAGCACACAAGTGCTTAAAGGAGCGACAGAGAAGCTAGCTGACGTGGCTGTTCCCCGCCGCCAGTCACGAAAACCTAGATCCGCGTTGCCTCACAACTGCCAGCTAATCTTCTGATAAACACGTCGACTGTGCTAAAACAAAGCTGCGAAACAAGCTGTCAAATAACCCAACACACTGGCTATTTTTTAGCAGCTGACTAGCCGTTTAGCATCGTCCGACATGTCTGAGAGAATTCACCCAAAAACGAGGCCACCGCTCCCGTTTAGAACGACATGCCGATTCTCGGACAGTTACCCCGCTCCTGGTTCTCGCTGTTAACTAACTGAAACGAGCCAAGTGTTCACTGGCGTAAAAGGCACAGCGGAACAAACACACCTCTGTTCACTCATTTTCCCTATGCACCTACAGATGTCACGACTGCTCACTTCCCTTCCGGGTTATTGCTGCTTTCGTCACTGCTGTCACTGCTGCTTCTACGTCTTGACATTTTAAAAAAAAGCCGTTTAACTTCCAGATAGCACTTATTTTTATCACTACGAAAATTCTTCCATTTAGAAAAAATACATTAGGATGATTAAAAAAAAACTTACTATAGCCAATAAATATTAGATAAGCTTTGGAAACCGATCTTCACCTAACAAAAAATCATATTTTGTCACAAAAATGTTCATGATTTATGAAAATTATTAGTTTTTAATATTTTTTTTAATAAAATTGGGTTCTTTTTTTAATCCTAATGCTATCCTAATTTGACTTCTTATACATATTAGCCAGTTATAAATGCATAATATTGACTTTGCAAGCATATAGCTTGTAGGCTTGCAAAGTCTCTAATAAGTGACTTCCTTATTTCTTTTTTCTTTTTCTTTTCTTTTAGGAGAAACTGGTTCCCTTTCTAGTTAAAGGTGATTGACATGCACTAAAAACAATATCTTCAGTAGACAAATTCCCAAGTTTTATGTAACACTACACATACTGTGCACTGACAATGACGGATGCGCCTACAGTATGTGCAAACCTCCCGTTTATTTTAATAAACGAATGAAAAAATAAACATGTTTATTATTTATCTATACTCTGTACTAATTTATTTTACGAATCCAGATTACTATCAAAGTTGGCTAGTTGCTAGATTTGTCTGGCCACAGAACAGTTTCCACTTTGCCTCAGTCAATTTTATTAACACAGATAGCACAGCAGTGCTTTTGGATCATATTCATATACGGCTTCTTCTTTGCTTTAATCAGTATATTTTGGTGCCACAGCAAACTGCGTTCACAGTTCTGGGATTACTCCTGAGTCCATGCACTAATCACACACACAAATTTCAGCCTAATTGTTGCGCACAGAGATTTCTCCAGATTCTGGTATATTATGCACTGATATGAAAAAAAATTTCAGTCATCTCAATTTTACATTGAGGAAATGATTCTGAAATCATTCTATAATTTGTAAACAGAGTTCTTCCGACTGGTGAACCTCTATCCCATTCTTACTTCTAAGAAACAGATTCACTAAGATGCTCTCATTATTGTTTCTGACCTGTTAGTTGTATCTAGCGACCATCAAATTCAAACTGAGCTAATATTTCCCATGAAATGATACACGTACTGAGACTAAAATATGGGTTTATGTCATTTTCAAATCATTGCTTGCTGTTTTTATTTACATTACACAGAAGATGTATGAAGATCATCATGAAAATCATAGGTGAGAATCTCTGACTTTTGGATTTTAATGTTCTGCACATGCTGAAATTGAACTTCTTGGCATCAAAAACAATGACATTATAGATTTATTATTATTTCATATAATGCCTCATTTGAACATGTACACCAAACCACCCCATAATAAGCAGCTGTAAAGAATCAGTAAAAAGATATAAATATCTAAAAAACTTGATACGAAGGACCACAAACATAGAGGGAAGGCAGCATCAATGCAGCCCAAGTATCTCTTGTCTCTGTTGTTTTGCCATCTGGCACAGATCTTACAGCCTCAAAGTCTTTTTGCTGTCTGCTGATAGTCTGCACATCTCCTCAGCCTCACCAGACCTGGGACTACACAGACATCCTTCGATGTCTGTGGTTCTTCTTAATCACTTTCCCTCTCTTCCTTGCTCTGTTGGCCATTTAACAGAAATGTGGTAACACTTCAGGTCCTCTTCAGACACCAAGTCGGGTGCACGGCTCATGAGGTCATGGCCGCGGAATGACTTGGGGAAGGCGATTACGTCGCGGATGCTGGGAGCTCCGACTATTATTGAGACCAGTCGATCCAAACCTAGAAAAGGACAAAGAAATAAAGAGACAACTTGATCAATATACTGTTCAATATTGCACAATTTACTCTGAATTCACTGTTCAATTGTCCATGCAGGCTTCACAATACATGCAATTTATACTAAGGACCTGGCAGAAAAAAGCTTGATCGTGTTCAGTCGAATGGTACAGACAGATACAGCTGAAATGGGCTAATAGTAAGAGTCAGACAAGTTCAGCACAGCTGTGCATGTGTCAAGTCACATCTTCCAAACCCAAATCATTTTGCACAATAACTGACTTGCTCACAGTTACTGAAACTGTGCTGCTCTGCTCTGAACATGTTATTCAGGTGTCACTGTGTGCCAGTTAATGACACAAACAGTGACACAGTGTTGCCACCATGTGGTCAAACCAGAAAGTGCAGCTTTCAACTTTATCATTTCTATTCAAACACTTCACACAAAACAAATACCAAACAAAGAACCACAAGACTCACAAACTACAGAGCAGTTTGGATTGTGTCTCTGCAGCATGTCTTTTGTCCTGTGTCCCTCCCCTCACCTCCAACCGCTCACAGCAGATGACCGCCCCTCCCTGAGCTTGGTTCTGCTAGACGTGTCTTCCTGTTAAAAAGGAGCTTTTCCTTCCCTCTGTCACCAAGTGCTTGCTCAAAGGACATTTCAAGATTGTTGGGTTCTCTCTGTATTATTTTTTTAGAGAGTATTTACAATATTAGGTGCCTTAAGGCAGCGGTCCCCAACCCCCAACACTCGGACCGGTACCAGTCCGTGAGTCGTTTGGTACCGGGCCACGAGAGTTGAGGCTCAGGTGTGAAATGTGTGGTTTTCGGGGGTTTTATTGGTTTTCAGCGTTATTTTGTTATCGTTTTTATCGTTAACTCGGTTTTCCTGGATCTTTTCACGTTTGTTATGAATAAATCTTTTTTCGGTACCAGTACTAGTTTTATTTTGTTGTATTTATCCGCGACACCTTAAAGGCCGGTCCGTGAAAATATTGTCGGGCATAAACTGGTCCGTGGCGCAAAAAAGGTTGTGGACCGCTGCCTTAAGGTGATTGATGCTGTGATATGGCACAAAATATATAATAACAAAATTGGGAAAAAAAACCCAAAAAACAGCCCCCCCCGCTCAAAAAAAACAAAACAAACACACACAGTTACTCCATATGACTGAAAAGACCAGCCTTAAATTATTCATTCACAAACTCTAATGCACAAATTGTAATAAAAGTACCATCCAACTGTGTCTCTCCTTCTCTGTTCAACGTACCATTCTTAAACATGCCAAAACAAATTACATTAAACAACAGATAAGAAGGAAAAAAGGAAGTATAAGAAAAATGTTAACTTAAGTTTGAACAACAAACATTCTGAGAAATCTCATACAGTTATGAGCTAAAAAATAAAAATCCCACAAATGAATTATAAAACACTGATCCATCCTTATTGTCTTGGTCCCGTCCTGTAAATAATTATGTGGACTTTAGCTCCTGGCGTTGTAGCACGAGACAGTGGTTTGTGGGCTGCCTAATGAATGGCATGGGAACACTAATAATTACCCAGTTAGTGCTATAGTGGGGATTTATATACAACTAATGGAGAAACATGTGTAACTAAAACCAAGCATGTTGCCATGGATATGTGTTAGCGCTAAGGGCAATTCAAGAAAATACACTGATCTCTTTTCAGTGGTTAGGGAAACTGGACCTCCTACAAATAGTATTTAGAGTGAAAGCAATGATATCAGGTTGATACTGTGTGGTTAGTAAAAACCCAGTGTGTGCACACATGTAAGTCTTATACGAACTCAGTGATAAACAAGCAGAGTTGAGCTCACCCAGAGCAATGCCTCCATGAGGCGGCGCTCCTGAATCCAAGGCCTCGAGGAGGTGGGAGAGGAGTCCGGGGTCCTCCTGAAACACAAAAACAGTTGGAAACAGTTAGTGTTAACGCTGAAACGTCCCACTCTTTCATAAGTGAAAGACTGAACTGCACCAAGATGGAGGAAGCCACTGACCTTAAGGACATTCTTCAGCACATAAAACTGCTCCGAGGCTTTGTGGATGCGAATGGAGCCTCCTCCGATCTCACAGCCATTTAACACCAGGTCATAGTGCTGACCACGAACCTGTGAAATACAGAATTTACAAACAGAATATACATCCTGCATTTTTCTACATAATTAAAAATAACTAATAAAGTACTACACGAGTACCTTATGTGGATCCGTATAGAGTAACGGTGTGTCCTCTGGCACTGGTGCAGTAAATGGATGATGAGCTGATTCCAGCTCCTCTGGATCATCTTCTTTGGGCAAGAAGAGAGGAAAGTCCACGACCCACAGGAAGTGGAAGGCTGAGGGGTCACGCACTACCACACCATGAGACTCCAGGAGCTTTGCACACTGCAGGCGAAGATGACCCAGCAATGGGCACTGAGAGCAGAAAAGAGAGTGCGATGAAGGGAGCGTTTGTATGAGCTCTGTGCTTCTTTGTTTGACAGCTGACTCAAACCAGCCTCTTACAACAGTGTGGTGGGAGCCTGCTGCTATCAGAAGCAGGTCTCCTGGCTTGGCTTCAGTCCACTTCAGCAGCTCGTCTGTGACAGACGAAGACAGCAGCTTCTTCAGGGGAGACTTCAATGTCCCGTCTGCTCTGACCAGCACCAGGCTCAGCTCCTTAACGCACGAGGATTAAACACAACTTGTGACTTTCTACTAGTGTTTGTAACACACAAGTGTTTATCTCAGAACAACGTGAGGCGTAAAAGCAAAGAAAGGATAAGAGACCTACCTGTCCAAACTGAGTGTTGGCTATTTGTTTCAGTTCTTCCAAATCCTTCCCAGTGAAAAGTTTCTGTTACAAGAGAGAAAACATAATGTGAGACACACAAATTCGCACAAAAACACATCTTCTGTTCTACATTTTCAGCATTCTCGGGCCACAGGAAATGGTTCTGTTCTTACTGCTCCACTGGGGACACAGACAGCCCGAACGGAGCCTCCTGGTTGGCCAAGAGCTGATTGGAGGAATTCAATTTCCGTGGAAAGGAAGATCTGACTGAGGTCTATTAGCTGCACAAATAGACAAATAAAAAAAAATCATATAATTCACTCATGTTGTACATTAAACAAAAGAGTAAAAGATGTAGCATGTTCAGTAAGAACATAGTTTCAGTTAGGACCCCAAGAAATCAAACACCTTCATGTTGAATCTGGTGTCGGGTTTGTCCACACCGTAGTCCCTCATGGCCTCTTCATATGTCAGAGTTTGGAAAGGAGCCTTAAGAGGACCACGTTCTGCAGGCCAAGAGTACTGCAGCAAACCCTCCACCAGTGACATGATACCTGCCTGGTCCACAAAAGACATCTCTATGTCCACCTGGGAGAAACGACAAGAGGATTTTCAGAATTCAGACAACATGACATGATCCAACATGTCACATGTATGTGACAACAGGCCGGTCTATGGGCCAGACTAATCGGACTATGTTGCTCAGTATGTACTCAGATTACAGGAGAGACACATGGTACTCACACAATCCTGAATTGAAATCTGTGATAAAATATCATAAGAGCAAAGATGGCA